AAGACCTAGAAAGATAATATATAAACTCTAGAATTGACAGAGACATCTTGCTGCCTGTACAGTCACCCAAAATTCCTCTGTAATGTTGGGGCATCCCTCTTCAGCCTATAGGCCCAGAATGTCTGGCAGACTTTTTTATGAAGCAGATCATCCTGTCCCTTGGCAAGTTCAACAGTCACTTTTATTTGTCCTGCTTGTCCAGTTTGGAAGGCATGCTGTCAAGCAGTCTAGGCAAGAGCAGTTTCTTGTCCAAATGGCTATCCCTGCCATGTTGAAGGCAAACTCCATAATGAGTTTTTTGATGCCCACCTTCCTTTCTGACATAATTGGTGTTGCCAGGAGATGTGTCTCATTGTCATGAAAAACCCTAATAAACCATTTTAAATACAACAATCTGTAGATATTTAAAAGGTCTTAAAGAATACCTATCCATTTGAAATATATCTTTGTATATCTAGAAAACCTAACTAACATAAATTTTGATTGTTATCAGTGACTATAATCTGTAATTATACATTTTTTAAAATCTGTGTAAACATAATACCTACAGAAGAGTAAATATATATATATATATATATATATATATATATATATATATATGTAATAAAACTGACCTTAAATTTGTATCAATAAACCAAAATCCATACCAAGTATTCATTTCTGTATCATATTCCATTTTTTCTTTAGAAAAAATTGACTGTGATCATTAACTATTTATAACCAATCCCATTTAAATGAAAACAAACATTTATAACCAATGTTTGGGAATGTGGGTATAGTTTTCTCCAAACTGCTTCCTGCTGTTTGGGGGTACTGTCATTCCCAAGGGGATCCTGGCCAAATCCTGGTTGTAGTAGTCTGTGAGACTGCATTATCTCTCGGCTGTTTTTGATGTTGGATCACCTGGGCCACTGCTTCAGGGGGTCTTGCTTGATTAAACCATATTAGTCTGGGAGGAATCCACAGCTTTCCATCTTTTGTGGAAACAAAATCAGAACCTCTTTTTCAAAGTGACATATCCTTAGAGTTAAAATTTGAAGTTAAGATCTCTCTAAAAGAATATATGTTGGTTTAGCTTAGCAGTGCCCAGAATCAATATCTCCCTGTAGCCAAAAAATTAAAACACAATTATATATGTGTGTATATATGTATATATATATATATGATTCAGATATCATTTTTCCTATCTTAGTGAGTCTAAGAAAGCACTAAGCAAGCCATGAGTAGCATTTCTCCATGGTCTCAGCTTTAGTTCATGCCTTGGCTTCCCTCAGTGATGGAGTGTGATCAGACGTGCAAGCACGTTGGAACCTTTCCTCTCCAAGTTGCTTTTGTCAGTGTTTAACCTCAGGAATAGAAAGGCAGTCAGGAAGAGGGGATGGGGGGGGGGGGCGGCTTTGCTAGTGCTCAGCTCCCATTCACTCAGTTTGAGACCCAAGTCCTGAATGTGTGAGTCTTCGTTCCTCAGTTTAACCTATCTGGCCACACACTCACAGACGTGCCCAGGTGTTCAATGGTTATTCTAAATCCAGCCAACACACAGCTTCTCAGCCAGTCCTCTCCATCTTTCAAGTTCTAAATGCTACAGCTCTGAGGAAAATGGTGTCCTGGCATTTGGGAGCCAAGGAATACCACAGAGTCACACCATACAACAAACCTCACACAAGAGATTTATTGGGAAAGACACAAGATGTGGGCTGCCTCTGCCAAGACAAGAAGCAACTGGGAACTAAGGAAGACAGGTTTATGTAGGATTTCTTGGAGGTGGAGTTTTCCAGGGTGGAGATTTTCAGGATGGGTATTGGTGGGATCTCAAGCCCTATGTTTGGGGGATTGGTAGGATTTTGAGCTCAGGAATTGGTGGATCTTTGAAACTTGGAAATAAGCTTCGGCTTTTTACCTGATACAAATAACAAGGACACATGGAGTCCTCAAGCCTGTGTCTTCCTCTTCTGCTAGAGTAATGCTTTTACATGTTGGTACACTGACTCACCTGTAGAGAATTTCTTTGTCTCCTGGTCACTGTACCACCTAACACACAGTGGCTGTGATGATATTATATTGAGATGTTCCAGAGGTGATGACAGGACATTTTTTTCTTGGGAAGAAAATTCTATAATTTTTCCTGGTACAAACTATAGGTAAAATTTTATTAGAGTATGTGTATAAGTTCATGTTACTATTGTTACGATGAACACCATGACCAAAGACAAGTTGGGAAATAATGTGTTTATTTGTCTTATGCTTCCACATTGTAAGGTGTCAGTGAAGGAAGTCAGGATGCTCAAACAGTGCAGGAACCTGGCAGCATAAGGGGTGTTGCTTACCGGCCGGCTCTACATGGCTTGCTCAGCCTGCTTTTTTTTCCCCCCTTTTCTTTCTGTCTTCCTGTCTTCCTTCCTTCCTTCCTTCCTTCCTTTCTTCCTTCCTTCCTTCCTTTTTCTTTCTTCCCTTTCTCCCTCCATCCCTCTGTCCCTCCCTCCTCGCCTTCTTTCTTTAATAGAACCCAGGACTTCCAGTCCAGGGATGGTCACACTAACAATGGGCTGGGCCCTTGCCCATCAGGCACTATTTAAGAAAATGTGCTATAGGCATGCCTAAAGTCAGATCTTATGGAGGAAATTTCTCAATTGAGGTTCCCTCTTCTCAGGTGACTCTAGCGTTTGTCAGGTGGCATAAAAACTAGCCAGCACAAAACTTGTAGAAGAAAATCACATTGATTTTACTGTCACCTCCACCCCAATTACTTCTCTAGTCTGTCCATTTAATTCCCGATTCCTAACATTATTAATTTATTTGTTTGTTTTGAGGCACAGTCTCTTTATGTAGCCCTGGCTAGCCTGGAACTTGTTTTGTAGATCAGGCTCACCTTAAGCTCACAAAGATCCATCTGTCTCTACCTACTAAGTGATGAGAATAAAGGCATACTCCATCATGTCCAGCCCCAGAAATGTTTTTAAAGTTAAGTTTGAAGGTGCTTCTAAATTTCTCATTGAGAAAAATACCTAAAAACTGTCAGAGACAATTTTGAAAAAAATATTTTGGATAGCAAGCAAAGTATATTAAATTCATTAAAATATTAAGAGTATTGTTCCTTGAATATTTGTGGGATAGCATTGGGACTTTAGGTGAAGGTACTTCAAATCCTAAAAGAAATCGTGGATTTTGAGCAAACAATGGTACAGTTTTCATCTATTTGCAAACAAAGTTAAGCTTTATTCCAAGTACAAAAAGTAATTTCCAGATGGAGTGGAGTTAATACACTAAATAAAACTGTGTGTGTATTTTAAAGTACCAGAGGGTCAGCTTATAAACCCAGTTAAGAACTACCTAGTGCCTGTGCTAGGGAATGCTGGTGAGTACATGAATGAGAACTTGTTTTTTAACAGAGTCAAGGAAACAGAAATAAAAACAGTTCCCCTTTGCCATCATATCTCCCATTTCAACCCAAGTTTGGCAAAGATAAGGGAGCATGTGTTTTCACTGAATGAATTATAATGGTCTTTTTGGCAGTGCCCAGTCTAGTTTTAAGTATGATATTCTCCCATTGAATGATTTTGTCTCCAGATGTTTGTTGTAGAGAATAAACAGGGACATGAGCAGCAAGAGACATTGTTGTGCCCTTGTTATTATGGTAGAAGCTGCTCAGCAATGTATATATCTATCTTGGAAGAGCTTTTGGCTTTAAGTGAACAGTTTAGTGGACACTGAAGCATGGGGGGGGGTCAGCAATTTAGTTGAACCAGTGTAATTTAGAGATTTGGGGTTTGTAAGAATGACTATCTTTTCCACGTGTGTAATTTTATTACTTTATATCTTCATCTGTTTTCTAAAGGCTCTGTGGTATATATAGTTCACCTGATATAATTACGCAGCTAGTGGTAATTGTCCAAGAGCAGCTGCAGTTGAACAAAAGCCCTGGGAAACAATGAGTGAACTGGGGATTTCTTTCATTGCCCAATTGTACCTGCCCATGATGAGGCCAAGGAAACAGAGGGGGCTGAATGATTGTGCACTCATGCTATCCTGATAGATCATTGTCAAGACAAGCATGCTTTATTGCTTGCTGCCTACACATTTCTTGTATTTGCAAATAATTGCATAATATATAAGATAATAAGAAGCCCAAACCCAGGGCTTTACTTATGCTATGCATGTGTCTTGGGAGGGAGAGAAGACAGAGTAGTGTATTTATATAGGTGTCAGCACTGAAAATGCAATCCAAATAAATGCTTTCTTTCTGGCTATGCTCACGTTGAGAGATCAAGTAAAATACCCTCATGGAGGGGGTCGCAACACATATTTAGTGGCCTTATATGGACTTAGGCTTTGGGGGGTTGAAAAAAAACAAAAGATTTTACTATTATTTTAATTTTATGGATTTTCTATTCTAGGTACTTGTATGGGTACTGGTGTATGTGGAAATCACTTTTCAAATGAGACACTTATAGGGATTTTAGACACCCACCATCATGGTTAATGAATTTATTGAATGTTATTGACATGGAGGGTTATTTTTATGTAAAGAAGTATTTTAGGGCTGGAGAGATGACCCAGTGATTAGATCATTATTGGTTCTCCAGAGGCCCATCAGGTTCAGTTCCTAGAACTCACATATGTAGTGATTTACAACTATCTATAATTGCAGTTACAGCAGATCTGGAACCCTCTCTTGGCTTCTGTGCACACTGGGCACACATATGCAGAAAAACCACCTACACACATAAAATTAAAAAATAAAGAAGCATTTCATCCTGGAGAGAATTTATAATCCTATACTAACTTAATACTTCTAAGATGATTTTTCAAAGACCATTTCTTTAACATACTGTAATTTATAGCACATCTGTCTTTGTAAGTGAGGCAGACCCTAGAGAGAGTAGCATGGTCTTACACAAATGCTCCCATGATGGCAGCTCGTAAGAGATGAGAATTTGATTGTGTCCTGTGGAGAGAGACATGACACCTTGTTAAAAAGCAATCTGTGGATTATTTTGCAGAAGTCAACAAAAGGTTCTGTTGTCCTTGACCATGTTTTCCGTCACATAAACCTCGTGGAAATAGATTATTTTGGGCTGCGATACTGTGACAGAAGCCATCAGACAGTGAGTACAACAATTTCATGTTTAAAATGTCTGGTTATAAATTTCTCTCTCTCTCTTCCTCCCTCCTTGCCCCCTCCCCTTCTCCCTTCTTCTCTCTCCCTGCCCCTCCCTTCTCCCCTCTCCTCCCTTCCTCTCTCTCTGTGTGTGTGTATGTGTGTCTGTCTGTCTGTCTCTCTCTCTCCTGACCTTTCTAGGTGGTTAGGTACTTTGGAACTGAAAATGACTTTGGGGAACTTCACTCTTATTTTCCTGTTATAATTTCTTTGTGTTTTTTCTTCTCACAAAGTCTGCAGGGTTGTTGGCTTCACCACTTCTTTGTATGAAATCCTTTTTACAGACAGCTTATGTGGCTTCCATTTTTGCCACCATCTTATAGGTGCACTGTTCTCTTTCACACTGTGTTGGAAGGAGTCTGTGGAAGGGACAGACATTATTGCCTTTTAAGAAAGGAAATGAGTAGAGAGAATATGTATGTCTCCTGCCTCCTAGCAAAGTTTTAAGAGTGGCTGCGGTAGTAATAAAAGTAAATGAGTAGGCTTCCATTCTTCAGCCTGGTGGAATGAGCACACTAGAGACAGTCTGTCTTTTCCTCCTGATGTCAGATGCACACAGGTTAGCCCAGGATACCATCCTGTCTGCTCAGAGGGCAGAGGTGCTGTGATGCTTGGCACACAGGGAAAACTTCGGAGGTGATAGACTTTGAAGGACAAAGGGTATTTGTTGATTTAGTCTAAGAAAGATTTTAACCTCAGACAGATAAAAAACCTTATACAAAATGCCGGGAGGCTTATCTTAGAAATACCCTGACTGGCCATTTATTTTCTGTCCTGTGCAGTTGAAATGAAGAGTTCTTCCTCTCCTCTCAGGTCTGCTGGCCTTCCGTGGTCATTTAGTGATGAACTCAGGACAGAATTTGGCCCTAGAAACTTCTCAGGCTGAGAAGAAACAGGGAAGTGAGATGCTACCAATGTTAAAACTGATGTTCTCTTGTTTTTGGCTAGCTTCACAGTCTATTCTGTTTCACAGGAGGATTTCACAAAATAGGGGCAAATATTGGGATGTTGGGTAGATCTTCATAGGAAGAAATACATTCTACCAGGCGAGTGGGCTTTAATGCACATTTTGAAAGGATACAGACATACTCAGAGATTCACTAAATTCTGTCCCATACAGACCACAGGCCTGTACAGATTGAGTAAACTGGAGGCCTTGGAAGGAACTTCAAATTGCATTCATTTTTTTAGTAATATTTTTTCCTATAGAGACAAATGCAGTTTCCTGATTGATGCTAGGCCTTACCAGGAAAGATTGGCGGCCTTGCTAAAATGACACAGACCTTATCTTCTTTGAAGGTGATTCAATTACAGGTGCCCTCATATGTGAAAGAGGAAGGCTGGACAGTCAGGGAGAAGATGTAATGATGGAAACAGCAGTTGGAGTGGTGCATTACTAGAAGAGGTCCTTGAGGCAGGGAAGGCAGGCAGGTGGTCTCCGCTGGGGAGGAGGCGAGGAAATGGCTGCTGTCCTAGAGAGTCTCCAGGAGGAGTCCAGCCTGCCTGCATTTTTATTTTATCCTAGTAAAACTCATTTTGGACTTAGAGCCTCCAGAATGATAAGGTAATACATTTCTATTGTTTTAAACCATCAAGTCTATAGCAATTTGTTATAGCAGTGGGAAACCAATTCTCATGGATATATGGAGGAGAATTTAATTGCTCAGTAGAAATGTAAGACTTTCCAGGATAGATTTTTCACATGAGGCAGAAGCCTGCAACACTGCCAAGCTCCCTGGGTAGTGATGTCTTACACCCTCTATAGCAGATGAGCAGGACTCCTTTGTGACTCTAGCTGCACTGTGTCCCTGGGTGTGTGTGAGCGATGTTGCTGCTTCAGAAACACTTGGGTTCCTTGCTGTGCCAGAGGGATGGTGAGATTTGTTGGCAGTAGGCACAATCTTCTTCACTATAAACATTAATAATTTGCAAATAATCAGAAGATGGAAGGAACCAGACTGTTAAAACTGGAGCATGGTGTGGTAGAAAGGACAGCTGCTGTTGGAGTCACAGATACATTTTAGTCCAGTGTCTCATCCTAGTAAATGGTCAAGTCTCTTAATCATTTAACTCTCCCCCCTTTTGTTTTTTGTTTGTTTGTTTTGTTTTTCAGACAGGGTTTCTCTGTGTAGCCTGACTGTCCTGGAACTCATTTTGCAGACCAAGCTGACTTCAAACTCAGAGGTCCACCTGTCTCTGCCTCCCTAAATGCTGGGATTAAAGATGTGTGCCACCATACCCAGATCATTTAACTCTTAATATCTGCATTAGCCTGTTTTGTTTTACTATAATGAAACACCTGAAGCTGGGTAATGAATAAAGAAAAGAGGTATATTTATTTAGCTTACAACTTGGAAGTTCAAAGGCACGATGCTGGCATTTGTTCATCTGGTGAGGACCTCATGGAGGATGGCATACGATAGTAGGGGTGCGTCTGTGAGAGGGAGAGACCACATGACAGGAGACTTGAGACAAGGAGAAACCATGATTGCTCATTTATAATAGCTTTCTCTAAAGAGCTAGTCAAGGTCCCAGGAGAACTACATCATTTCCCCGTGGGGCAGCTCCTTCGTTACTCTAACTATTCACCACTATTAAATGTTCTGTGTCACCTCCAAACACTGCCACACCAAGGAACAAGCTTTCAAAACATAAGCATTTGGGTGGTTGTTAATTATGGCCAAACCATAGGAGGAGCCTTCTCTGTATTAAAAATGCACCACCTTTGCATTCCACTTATAGAGTATCATGAGACCAAAGCAGGTTTTCATGAAAGATCTCTGTAGGTTTGAGGCACTGAGCATATAATGGCCTTCCCTGTGGAGGCAAAGAGGAGAGAAATAGTGTTCATTGTCTTCTATAAAGTAGGGGGAGGGCACAGTTCTGAAGGAAAGGAGAGAGGAAACAAGGTCTAGATTCTTAAATATCCCTGGGGAAATTTAAAGATGCTGTGATGACATTGGAACAATAGTAAGGATAAATGTGGTTCCCAGTCCCACTCCTGGCTCTCACAGTCACAGTTTTAACCATGTTGTCTTTCAGTGTTACAGCTTCAGGCTCCTTTCCTAATTACTCCTTCACAGGCAGAAGCCATAGACGGAATTGGACCTGGGTCTGAGAATCATGCATCTAGACCTGCTGTCCTCTGACCTAGAGAAGTTAAAGAAGGGAAAGATAAGGCACACATATAACAGTGACATACAAGTGTCCTCTTCCTTCAGTGAAATGTTCCTTGGCTTCACCAAAACAATGAAAACAGTTGGAAATAACTTCCGGGTTCCCGGGCTCCTCCTCAGACCTAGTTCCCATAGGTCACTTCCGCCCCTAGCTCCACCCCCAATGGGCGTGGTCAGTGCCACAGAAGCAGACAAAGTGAAAATCTCCCTATAATTCCCTTCTTTGGTGGTCACTCTAACTTCCTACTCTGCTCTTTCTTTCCCAGTAGAGTTGGGTTATGCCCAAGAATCTCTATTTAGAAGCAATTTCTCTGAGATCCCATGTGTTCCTTAACTTCTCGTCGTTAATCTTTTTTTTTTTTTAAACATCCTTTGCTCTGAAGCTGCCAGAGGCGTTCTTAGCCTCACAAAGAACCTCACCGCTCTGTAGTATTGACAGCAGTGACTTACTTACTCTTTCTTGAAATCTTATTTTGTTGTAATGACAACACAGACTCCTTGTTTCTCTCTTTTCAGACTTTCTTCTGATTATTCTTTATGGCCACTTTCCCTTTTTCTGTTTATCCCATGAAGCATTGACTTGGTCTTTCTTGGGAGGGGGGTACTGTGTTTTATATGTGGATGTTGTATGTAACAGGCAAGGACTCTACCACTGAATTATAGCCTCAGCCAAAAATGTTGCCATTCATCAGGATTTTACCCTTGGTTTCCCATGTCCTAACGCTGCAGACTTACACATGTAATTCTAGCTCCAGATACTCGAGTGTTGAAGGTGATTGTATCCACTGAGCGTGAGTAGGCAGCTGCACTCTGCACTCGGCCACAAGTAATGAAATTCCACTTTACATGCAGATCATGTATTTTGCAATGTATGTGCTATTTCACCTGCTGTGTATTTTGGAAAATAATGACTGATACTATTGGAAAGCAGAGTGTCACACTTACTACACACAGACTTTACTGTGTGGGACATCTTTTGGTATCTGGTAGGGGAACAGAGGGTGAAATGAAGTAAGAAAATCTATTCAGGGATACCTCTGACTTGGTGAGGAGCAGCATATAAGCAGGGTAGTGGCCCCGGGAGGTAAAGGGTTGCCTGGGAAAGAAAACAACAGAGAGACTTAAGTTTCCCTTTAAGGGAATGACAAGAACATCCTCACAGACTGTGCAATGCTAAACTTCTCATTTTCCAGAGAGTAAATATGTGTTCTTCATGGGTACTGCGATCTGCTCCACAGATGCGTTACTGTGTAAAGACAGATGATCCCTTCCCTTAATTAGTGTCTCCAGCCTAGGTATCTTGAGAGATATTATTATGTGCAAAGACTATTGAAGGTCGAGGCTGTCTGGCTTCCCAGGAGAGCTATGTGGCACTGGTGACCATCCCTAACTTCTGCTTGGTTTTCTCCATTCACATAGTGGTGTAGTGATAGTAGTACCTGCTTCACAGGGTGGCAATAATGATCACTTAGGGCATCTCTATGAATGTCAGAGATGGTAGTTAAAATGTGTTAGCCTTTTTTTTTTTTTTTTTTCTGTAGCTTTGGAGCCTGAACTGGAACTCACTCTGTAAACCAGACTGCCCTCAAACTCATAGAGATCCACCTGCCTCTGCTTCCTGAGTACTGGGATTAAAGTCATACCCCCCCACCACCCAGCAAATATATATTTTTTATTTTGTGTACATTGGTGTTATTGCCTGCATTCATACATGTCTGTGTGAGGATAATAGATCCCTTAGAACTAGAGTTACAGACAATATTGAGCTCTC